TGGCCTTCAGTCCCAGCCTTCCAGCCGGCCCCATTAGTGCAGATGGAGAAGAGCACCCGGATGTAGACGCTGATATTCCAGCCATAGTGAGTAATTTTTAAAAACTGTTTATTTTCAATTCCTCAAAATTTTACTCCTTTGAAAACGTTTTAACAGTTACTTACTCTTGTTTCTGACAATAGAGTTTTTCAGGTACTGGCGTTGCGGTTAAAATACTTGAATTTCTTGTGACTAATGTTTTTGAAGCAAATCAGCAATAGGTAGTGAGAACCATACTTACAGTTTTTTTTGTTTTTAATCGGTGTAGGATTATTTTATTGCTAAAAATCTGGGTAGAAACCAAATACGTTTTCCTGGGTAAATTGCATTGTTTAGAATATTGGACTTAAACTGTGGTGTACTAATCCCCGCACAATGCTTCAGTGGCTTATGACTCTTTCCATTTGGAATTCCTACTAAATGTGAGTTCAAATGTCACTAATCCATTTTATGAGTTCACCCTAAATGTTGAACACTTCTCTTTCATTATGCTTTTTATAGTGTATTAAGCCTGTTGTCTCCTATGGTGCCTCTTTTACTTATTCATTTTTCTGGTGTCTCAGTTCCTCTTTTCTACTTGAACATGATTGTTTTTAATCCTTATGCTCACATTTAGCAATACTGTTCATTGTTGCTAATTTTCCAATTGGGTAAAAAAACCCCAGAAATATAAATTTATTGCTTTTAGAATTGTATCTTTTCTCATCTTCAGTTTCTCACTACTTTTATTAGTATGCATTAAGAAATCAATAGGAAGTGAAATTTGAATAATCCCTTTAATATATCATCATTTAGAAAGACTATTATTAATTTTTAAGTTGTTATTTTCTACCTGAATAGTGTGGAGAATACTGTATATCTAAGTTAAAAACTATTTTCTAACAAAACTTTTAAATCATTAATTTCTTTTATATACAGTATTAAGGTGCTAATATCCAACAATGTCAATAAGTGAATGTCATTACTAGTGACATTTCTCTGAATACCAACTTGCGTATTAATGTGGATTATATAGTAAGAACAAAGTTCCAAATAAGTGGAAGTGAAATATTTTTCATTCATTCTCCTGTTTGGTATTTGGTCAGTGCCTGTATAAATAGGTGGACTCCTATTGAAGTTATTTGCCAGTAGAAACCAAAACTTAGGCGTATTAGTGACTAGAGAATGGGCAAGTATTTCTAAATGATAAGAGACAAAATGAAGATACCAGTCTTGTTCATAGGAGATGAATGGGTCTCCAGTATATACAATTATATGGAATACTTTCCCACATGAATTATATACTACAACTTCCTACTTCCTTGTTCAATTTTCCTTGCTGAAACCTGGTTAATATTCAGTGACATTGTGGGAAGGGCTAGCATATAAAATAGAGATAATCCTTCCCTTTTCCATTTTCATTTCCTCTTTCTGGCACTGTCCTTTTCTGCTTCCTGTCCATCAAGTATTAGCTACGGCATGTCCGACCTCAGTTCATTATTTTATTAGGCCTCATTTTCATCCTATTGTGAATAATAGGGTCATCCAAAGTTCTTGTCTCACAGGATATGGGATTTCAAATACAGCTCTCCTCTTCAAATCCTTGACTAATAAGATTCTCAGCTAATAAGACATTTTAAAGACTTTGGAGTTTTTCCATTTAGAGATGTGTTGCCACTGTACCAGGTAAATACTGAATAGTTCCCAAATAAATATCCTTTCTATTCTGTTGCATTCCTCATCTATACACTTAATTTCTGCAAAATGAAGTAAATGGACAGGGAGTGCTTTTCACTTTCTTTCAGCTTGTTTGATACTGATCATTTTAAACAAATCTACAGTTTGGGTCCTCAAACAGTGAAACTATTTTGATTTACGCTTTAATTATAATTATGCTTTAATGTTAATTATGTGTGTGTGGCTCCTCATAAAATAGAGGCCTAGAACTATTTTCACTACATTGAGTTTTTTGTCCTAGATATCCATGGGGTAAGAGTTTTATGAACATAAGAGGCAAAGAAATTTTGAAAATAGCTACCATTATGTCCTTCTATATTAAGTTTCTTTATGTCAGGAAAATATGTCGTGCTCTATTGATTGGGAATTCTTTATAAACCATTAGAATTCCTAATGTCTCATAGATCATAATTGCCAAGAACTGGAATGAAAACTAAGCTAAAATCTAGGTTTTCAATATGGACATTGAAATATATCTTAATTAGAGCAATGTCTAAGGAAAATATTTTTGTGCCTCTGGGAAATTATAGAGCCTGCTGAGACATCATATTTTCCTGACTAACCACCCTAATTTAATGCATTTATTAGGCAATTGAAAAAAACCCAACCATTCTATTTGGTAATATTTCATCAAATAGTAAATATTCTGAGCTATTAAACTATTATGACACAAATACTCCCTTTAAAAATTTATATTTCAGAAAAGGAGGATTAGGCATACATACCCTAATATGTACCAAACAGAAATTAATGTAATAAGTGGCCCAAGTGATTTGATCTAGATGATATAGTTTAAAAGAAAGTAAAAATGCCTGCTCAGTTGGTTTAATCATGAAAGCCTTTATTGATCAAGAAAGTTCCAAATGGTTATAGAATGGAGGAAACTGCTTTAAGAAGAGTTTGTAAATGATGGATATTACCTAGGCAAGGAATGAAATGAGTATATTGGTTTAGCAAAAAACAAAAGTTATTGGAAGCCAGAAATTGTCCACCTCTCCTATGAGCACTGTAGGAGAAAATAGAAGTTTAGGCATATTAGATCCTGGTAAACAGGCAACTATTTATAAACCATAAAAGACAAAGTGAGAATAACAATCTTGCCCATGGGAGGTGAATGGATTCCAGGGAATAATCTGGAATATTTTCAACACAAATTCCACAGCATCTTACTTCTTTGTTAAAACTTCCTTGCAGTTAGCCCTTAGATGATTTAAGGAAGACATTCAATTAAATGCTGATGGTCTTTGCGTCCTTTTTCAAACATTTTTGAAATTCCCTTTCAATGACTGACTTTTGAGATCAGGGTTTTTCTAGAGATGGGTTCTCTGAAGTCTTCAACACCAGGAATGTAAAATCCAATAATGAAGAGTGCATCATCACTAATAACTACCTTTCTTTACTCTCAGGAACAAAAAACTTGTCATCAATTTTCCTAACAAACATGTTACCAATTGTTTATTTACAAAGTATTATGTTAACTACAGTTGGGTCTCTGTAAATACCCAAATACTCTGAAAAAAATATTTCCACTGAAGTGAAAGATACACCTGCAGTGAAATTAGGGATCACATTCAATCAGTAGTGGAAAATGTGTACCTCAGTAGGACAAAATGTGAGTCTATTCTCCAGTGGTGTTAAAGTAAGTGGAATAGCTGAAAGAATAATTAACACAGCAGTTTACAGTATGGATTCCTAGAATCTATTACTTACGGTTTGGAGCCACATGATGTCGCTCTGTACCATAAAATTGACCTGACAGGGAAAGAAAGAAAGAAAATCCCTCCTATTCTTATTGTAAAGAAGCTACATTCACCATCCAGATGCTGAAAAATGGAGGATGCAGTGGCACTGGACTGAACGGTTAGGAGATCTTTGGATTTTGAAACAAGATCCCCTTACTGAGAACAAAGCACTGCGGGCTGGAGATGGAGTTTTCCTGGGGAAGCGGCCAGGAATCCCGGCGTCTGCTGCTCTCACTTCTGTTCCTCGCAGCTTGGAAGGCGGGGAGCGGCCACGTTCGCTACTCCATCCCGGAGGAGGCCAAACACGGTACCTTCGTGGGCCGCATCGCTCAGGACCTGGGGCTGGAGGTTGTGGAGCTGGTGCCGCGCCTGTTCCAGGTGGCGTCCAGAGGACGCGAGGACCTTCTGGAGGTAAATCTGCAGAATGGCATTTTGTTTGTGAATTCTCGGATCGACCGGGAGGAGCTGTGCGGGCGGAACGCGGAGTGCAGCATCCACCTGGAGGTGATCGTGGACAGGCCGCTGCAGGTGTTCCACGTGGAGGTGGAGGTGAAGGACATTAACGACAATCCGCCTGTGTTCCCCGGAACACAGAAGAATCTGTTTATGGCTGAATCCAGGCCGCTTGACTCTCAGTTTCCACTAGAGGGCGCCTCCGATGCAGATATTGGGGCCAACGCTCTGCTGACATACACACTGAGCCCTAATGAGTATTTCTCGCTGGAAAACCCATCCAATGACAAGCGGGTGAAACGTCTTGGGCTAGTATTGAGGAAACCTTTAGACAGAGAAGAAGCTCCAGAGATTTTTTTAGTGCTCACCGCCACTGATGGCGGCAAACCTGAGCTGACTGGCACCGTTCAGTTACTCGTCAAAGTGCTGGACGCCAATGACAACGCCCCAGCTTTCGACAGAACACTCTATAAAGTGAAATTACCAGAAAATGTTCCTAATGGAACGTTGGTAATTAAACTTAATGCCTCAGATTTAGATGAAGGCTCGAATGGGGACATTATTTATTCATTTTCGACTGATATTTTACCAAATGTGAAATCCAAGTTCTACATAGATGGGATTACTGGAGAAATTATGGTAAAGGGATATATTGATTTTGAAGAAAGTAAATCCTATGAAATTCTTGTAGAGGGCATTGATAAGGGGCAGCCCCCACTCTCTGGCCATTGTACAGTTATGGTGGAAATAGAAGACACCAATGATAATGTCCCAGTAATGGAATTCAAGTCTTTGTCACTTCCAATCAGAGAAGACGCTCCATTGGGCACGGTCATCGCCTTGATAAGTGTGTCCGACCTCGACTCCAGTATCAATGGGCAGGTATCTTGTACCCTGTCGCCCCACGTTCCCTTCAAGCTGGTGTCCACCTTCAAGAATTACTATTCGCTGGTG